CGACCCGCAACTCGAACGTCTTCGGCTGCAAGTTACTCATCGCATCTGGTCTTTCCCCCATTTCTGCATTTTTCCGCTCCGGTTGCTTTATGGTCTTCGACGATGCTTGGGTGGAAGTCACTTTTTGTCCTTCGCTTCCAGGAAGGAAAACCCGCTCCTGCTTCGAAAGTGACCAGAACCAAAATCTCGCTTGCGATGGCGAAGAGGTACTTCGTCAGTTCGACAGGATTCTCAGCGTCGTCGGTAGCGAAAGCACCGTAAAAGGTTCACTCGCCATTCCACGTCGGAGGCATCATGCACTGCTGCCAGCAAACAGTGAGAGCACCTTTGTCGTCGCAGTTGTTGATGTTGATTGTGATATTGTCAGTGATATCGTGGGAATTTTAGAAGGGGTCAACGTATCGGGATTTTTCTACGTCCAAGGAGTCGGGGGCTATCATTGTTATTATAACATTCCATCGGTTTATTGGTTGGTCGATGTGTCAGTCAGTCAGTCTCCTGTTCCTCGAAAAACAATGGACTCACGCTCTTCGCATCGAGCCGCAAAGGCACTTCGAAAGTTTCGGGGCAATGATTCTGTCCGCTGTCTTCGCCGCTCGTGCTCCGACGCTGGATCAACGTTGTCGTCTCGGGAGATCGGTGTTAACATTCTTCCACTCGACGTATCGATCATCGCGTCAATCTGATCAGTTCATCAGGCGATCACCTTTGGATTTCCAACAATGCAGCTCGCAGTAGCGTTGACGGAAATCCCGAATTCGAGTTCTCGGCCACGTCGATCCGTTCCGTCGAGACATCGATTGAGAGAACGAGCGATGGATCGATTCACCATGCGAACGCCGCCTCCGAATCTCAGAACGGGGAACTTGAGATTAATTTCGGTTCTTGATTTATGGTGGCTTCGAACGCTTTCCGCTTGGCTTGTTCTCCGTCCGATCTAACCGAGTGCTAACGGAACGATTTCTAATTCGACTTCTTCTGGAAGGGCAGGAGCAGTAAATTCTGATAGCAGCTTTACCAGAAATACGTCCGGAAGGATCTTGTAATTCCCACTTTCCCCCTTGCGGTCAATTTATTCTTCGATAGAGGCTAATGTCAATCTGGCGTCTGGCGGTAATTACGCCGAGCTCCCAAGCCTCTCCTCCCCGAATCCCGTGATTCAATCTTCATGAAAACACTGAAATTGCGAATGAATATTTCTTCTCAGCTGCGACGCCGGAAGGCACGACGGTTCGCGAAAACTGATATTATCCAGTTTTTTCCCATCAGTCTCCAAATCTCCAAGGCGAGCAACCAGACGTATATCGTAGAGGCGTCAGCAGCTAGCCCATGATACGACGATTTACAATAACTGCAAGGACGTTTCGTCGTGTTTGTAGAGGGTGGCATGATTTAATTCAGCGAGTCTCTGCCTCCGTCTGGAATCGAGGATGCTTGCCATTCTCCTCGCACGAAAATTCAAGGAGGTCAAGGGCCACGGCCAGCCAGGATCTGGTACCCGAACCTCGCGCAAGAAGCTCTTTGCGGTGGAGCAACAGGGGGCAGAGGAAAATAAGTAATTAACGCAGGAATCATCCGTACGTGCTCCCTTACGGCTCAGCGGACAGGGACGAAGGAGCACATCCCGTTCTGGATGTTTCTTTCTGCCGAAAGTTTGATTGACCCACACCGTTGTCGCTATCGTGATCGGGGAACGGCGCAACTCAAGAGGAAGCGAAACCGTTGCACCAAACAAATCATGAACAGAAACGTTTTGTGTGTGCGGTTACCGCTCCATCTGACAGTGGTTTGACGGACTGACGGCCTGACTGACGGACAGTCAGTCGGCCAGTCAGCAACACCGTCTTTGTGTGTGTGCGCGCAAGTGTGTATATCTTAATCTCGCTCAAATTTTCGAACTTCCTTGACGCCGGGCTGGAGCTACGTGACGGCGGAAATGAAGCTCACCGGTCGGAATTTCGTTTTCGCACAAATTTGACGTTGTGTTGGGAATATGGAATTCTCCTTCTCCTCGATCCCAGTCAGTATTCTCTCCTCGGCGCCGTCCACACTGTTTGTTGTCCCTGGTCACCGACTCGAGGTCCAAGGGGATCGTCCGCTGGAAGTCATCGACGACGCATTCGTCATCAACCCGATCGTCGTCCAAAATATCGACGCAACTTTCGGCTCCATCCCCATCTCGGTCGTCATTCCTTCCCTGCTTATTGGCCGAGATTCTCAATGGGGAACGGCGGAACGGAAGACGGAAAACTCCGAATTACCGGGCACCGCAACAACATTTTATACGAGCCCAAATCATCGTGTTGACATCTGAGGCCGATAAAAAAACACCGCTAAATGTTGCCGTTGACATCGTCGGAACCGGCGGATGGACATGACGTTCGTCGTCGACCAAAGGACCAAAAAACCAGAGATGAAACGGTTCCACCGGACGAGACCACGATCGAAATCGGAAAGATGTATCGTAGCAAAAATCATTGTTTCCTACCGCCTTCCCCATTCGCTTCTTCTCACCGAGCAACCATCAGCGAGAATCCAGAAAGTCCGGCGAGGAGAGGACGTCTTTGGCGCTGGCTTGTCAGGAAGTCTGACTTGACGCTCATTTTTCAACCCCGGAGATATTCGAACCATTCGAAGAAAATTCCGAAATGCCTCACTCTACCGGGCCCCGAATCTTTTCCGAGCAGCTGCCTTCCATCTCAATCAAATAACCATGAGCCCTTGATAGTCTACCTCGGACCATCGGGAATCAATAGCGCAACAATGAGAGCAACCACAACAACACAGCAGCAAAATCAACAACGTCCTGACCGGGGACGCGGTAGCTGTAAACGTCATCCCGCTGTTTACAGGAGATATTGTTCGGATCTTCGATATTTTGAAACTTGGCACAGCCATTCACTCGCTGTCGGCCGTCTGGTCCTCCGCTCTGCCGCTGAGTGAGTGAGTCAGTCAGTCAGAGATTGTGACACCGTTCCTCCATGTGTTCAAACGCTCTTGGTGATTGTTGCCGGTACCAGAGGTGGTGACGGTTGTCAAAGAGTGACCCCTTCCAAAACATCTGGTGTCATCGCTTTTGATCGTTGCGAGTTGAGCTCTCTAGCGTTGCTTTCACTCGCGTTCTCTCGTTTCGTAAGCGATTACCACCTTAAGAGCGAGCGGGCGCGCTTCTGAAGCCGCACTTCAGAACAATAGAAGTTGATTGAACCCTCATTCTGCGCTTAATCGAAAACCCTCGGGAACATCTTGCAGATTAGGCGAGGTCGCAAGACCTCGCACGAAAGCGCGAATCCCTACCCACAAATTCGAGCTGTGGATCCCGATCACGAATTCGGATTCGCGAGTGCGGATCAGTAGGCGATTGAAAGAGATTCGCAAGCCGCAATCGATTCGGCGATCAGTGGCGGACGACTTCAATCGGATACGGTGTCGGCTCAGCCTCACGGAGTCCACGCGACGTCGAATCACTGACGGCCGATGCCTCATGAAGGAATGGCTCTCCGCGGCAGGGTCGACGCGGGAGATCAACATCGGGAGATCGTCCTCAATCGTGAAGTTCCGCATTGTGACCTTTTGGAGACTTCCCGGATTCTCGATTGGATCGTCAAGAGTCCGAGGGTTTAGTGAGAAGAAAAAAACATCTGCGAACAACTGGAAACGCGGCAAGTCGTTCCGGCCGTCGAATGAGCGAGATTATTAATGGAGCCGTGGACACGTCAATCCCCGACGTCAGCGTCATTGAAAGAAAGCACGAAAGTTGAGCACACAGTTAGCGTGCTCTGATCCATGCCGGGCCATTTGCGTGTGACTTATGCTTCCCCAGCCTGGGGTTCCTATCCCGTTGGAGCCTTGTGCGACGTCGTCTTTCTCCTCGGGCATCACGACAATTAATGTCGCCGCTTCGGCATCATCGGCATTGTCATCATCATCATTATTATCATTGACACTATTGCCCGCACGCCGCTCCAATTTCAGCGAGACATTCGGCGAGATAAAGTCGCTGCATGTCTATAATTTACGCTCCGCTTTAGCCGCTTTTTCATATTTCCTCCTCGCGACGAACGAACACCAAGCGGCACTAACAAGCTGGTGGATTTGTCAAGCCCGATGAGGGCCCTGGAACGATGCGATCCGTGTTCTTTGACATGTAATTCTAGCTGCGCAAGCCGTCGACCAGGCCCCCATACGGGCCGACTTCGTTCCGTCCGTCTTTCTGATCGGACGCTCTAATGACTGCTGTCGTCATTGCATGACGAGCCGGTAGCGGCCCTGGCAGTGGGTCAGCAGGCGACTCGACCGGAGTTCGAACCTCTGTCGCGCATGCGACCCTCGCTATGTAAATAAAACCAAGTACGGCGTCCTAAGGGTCCGGTACGGTTAGGTCCGGCCAGAAACTCGTGTATCAGGGTCGTGATTCGCTCTCGCTACGAAAAACTCTCGATCTTTTCATTCTTCATCGTGTCAGAATTCCGCGCCCCTCTCAATGTTGCCGGACTTAAATATCTCGGACATTTCTTTCTATTGGATGTCGGGTCTGCATGTCGGACACATGTGATTTCCCTGTATGCACAACATTAGTTTCCGATTCTACAGGGTCTCGACAATCATTTCCATTTTCGTCACGGACGCTCGTCGAACGGGACAGAACACAGAACCCTCCCGACCATGAGAAGAACAGCGTCGTGATCCGTCGATTCTGTCTCGACAATTCGTCGATTCCAAATGTCGCGATATCTCAGCGTTTCGGTGGAAACGCGACGAATTCACTGCCAAACAGCAACATTCGACGATCTTTCTACATCTACGTGAATCACCTTCGGCGAGACGAGGTCTCCGCTGGCGGTGTTCGTCTCGACGCGCAGACCCGCGCGGACCGTCAGGACCCTGACACGAGTCGGCTGTGCGAGGGTCATTGAGCACCCGATCATGATGAATACTCGATCTCTCGACGAATAATTGAAAATAAACAAACTTCTGATCAAGAATCAGTGTGTACATACATTTCCGTATGAAATAGTCACTCGCATCGTAGACAAGCGCCTCCTTGTTGGAGTTGTGGATTCTCTTCTTGAAGAAACACACCACTCTCTCCAGCCAGTTCTTGTGGCTCGAATCTAATCTTCCACACAGAACCATCGTCCTCGGTAATCCTAACGATTGCACATAATCCGTACGCCGTTCGCTCGACACTGCGGGGTCACATGTAGGGAATCACTCGAGTTCCCCTGTGCGCGCCCGAGCGATCTTCTTGAGAGTTCTCTCTAGAGAGAGTTTCCCGAACGACCGAATGCTTTCCGGGGAAAGACTCCGTGCGCAAGTCTCTTGGAATGTTCTGTCAGTGAGCATCTGTGAGGAACACTTTTTCTCGGGAAGCACCTTCAAAACATGTTGTGAGCTCACGAGCGACAAGTATCCCTTTCCAAGATTTGACTACGACTGCTTCACCGGCGGTGCTACGAGGACCGCATGGTGGTGACTGACTCGGGAGAGAGATCTGTCAGTCTGCATGTCCAGAGAAGAGAGGAGGTGGTCGATGCCGCTACTTGTGGTGCTGTCGTTGTTGCTGCTGCTGCTTGTTAGCTCATGCTGTCTCCGCAAATAGCATGAGTGCTCATGCTCACAATGCGCGCGTCAGAAGATAGCATATCCGTTTCTTTTGGTTTCTCTTCAATTTACGCTCCCTATTGGACGAATGATAAGTTCGGGGAAAGCGTCGGAATGGACCAACAGGTGTCTAGACAGGGCCAACCCGCAGCCCCTGCTCGAGGACACAGAGCAATAGCAAAGCATGGAGAACATTTTTCGAAGTCACTTCTCGTCTCCAGTGAATATGGTGAGATCTCGCGAATCTACGGAAGCGAAGCCCGCCGCGGAGCGAATCGTAGGAGGAGGGGAAAAAAACTCAGAGAAATAAAAACATTGAGTTGTTTACGCAAGGATTCCGCGGAAAATACCGTCATGCTGGGAATTCTCACTGTGCCAAAAAAGTTGGAGCGCCCGATCGACTGCTGGGGTGTCAAAACGCCTCCCTTTGGAAGCCCGAATTATGAGTGAGGTTCGACGGAAAAGTCACACGGGACTTCAGCCCCGACGAGAACCAGAAGCGAGAAACGACACTGAGTACGAAACTTGAGCTAACGATTATTAGCGGCGAATAGCGAGGGAAACGGAGAGCTCATTCGATAGTTCAGCCCTGCGTCAACGTTGCTGGAATCGTCAAAGCGGAACTTCTCGAATAATGCTCCACGGGGGCAGGAAAAAAAGCGGAGATCCACCCGAAGCGATGTGGTGGAAATCATATGGCGAAAATTCCAAACCCAGTGTGTGATTACATTGTTCGACAAGAGATTATCGTGGCTATTACACAAACGACGCGCGCGGACGATAAGACTGCGTAAGAGGCAATTGGAGACGAGAAAGCAGAAAAGAAAACGAGAGCCCGATAACACTGCGGCCAGCGAACCGATGGGCAATCCGCGGTCGAGTACTATGATGCTTCGATTTGGGCTTACTAGTGACGCAACATCCAAAGACGTAAACTCGCCGCTAATTCTCAGGGGAAAGCTCGTTGAAGACGGCTCTCCGAATGGGGCTACGAGTATGATGTCCGGGAGCTTCAGGGCAGATGAGACAAGAGAAATCCAAGTCCGTTCCAAGACGGTGCTTCGCGCGGTAATTCCTCGATTCCCTCGATGGCAATCTCGATTTTTTCGCTTCCTTTTCCCGTCAACGTTGCGACGCTCGCCGCAGTCGCTAGGTAAGAGACCGAACATACAGATCAAAATGCTCCTGTTACCAGGAAACCATGACGCATAGACCCATAGACCTATAGTGCGTCTCTGAGGCCGCTGGTCGGCCCGGCGTAACATGAGCCCTGGAGCAGTTGCCTGATAATGAAAACATTCACGGAACTTCCAAAAATGTGAATTTTATCATTGTTGATACGTTCGCGCGGTGACATCACTCGACACTGACTCGTGATGATCAACGATACCGGGGATTCTAGGTGAGAGCGTGAGTACTCGAGCGTTTCTGGCGTTTTCCCGAGTACTGTCGACTCACAAACCACTTGTTCTCCGCGAGGTCGAGTGATATCGCCGGGAAAAAACGGAGGATGACTCACCGACATGTCGATGCTCCGTCGTCGCACTCACCGTCCCGTATCAGGCGTTCCGGGGAATCAGAACGACATTTTTCTCTCCACATGCAGACGAATTAGTTATACGCAACGGAGAATGGTCCGATACCCTCGGCTCCCCAATGATCCATGCGGCGATGTTATCCTTGTTTATATTGTCCCCCTCCCCCGCTCTTTTTTCTGAGGATTCGGGGGCTTAATTCCTTCACGAATAATATCTCCGAAAATTCGGAAACAGACGCGATATGATCGTCGCCGCTCTCGCATCGATCCCCGCCAGAGTCTCTGTTTACGGTCGCCGACGAAAAACTCACAACAAACGCTATTAATAAGAGCTTGGGCCTAGGCCATGTCAGCGGAACGTAATCTGAATCGATGATCGCTCCATTTGATTCGTAGATCAGAAATCTTCCAATCCGGGATTCTTATAATTCGTTTGATACCCGAGAATCCAATTCTTCCCATTAAATGGTTGCGTGAATCTTGCCTACCCTTGCTTGCTGCGCTCGTTCTATGAGGCGATTCCTCCGATTCATTGATCTGCGGTCCATCCCGCGGAAATGTCTCCGATATGCGAAATTGTCTGCGAACGGGAATTTCTGTGGGGGCTCCAAGCCGCGAATCGTGGCAGGAGCAACTTCCGGATGGAACTTTCACATTTGGAAGAGCGGTGAATCGAGGAATCGAATGTATCTCGGAGAAGCCCACAGCGAGGAGTGCATCTAAATTTGATTGAAGCGTCGGATGTTGTTTTCAGCGCATCAAATCAACAGATTACAGCGACTCCGAGCTCCCCTGCTCCCCGATCCCCAGGTTTGTAGAGTAGACCGTAGACGGTTACCTACGTGCAAGAACAGATGGAAATATGGTCGACTCGCTGCGCGTCGACTCACTTACCGACGGCCGCTCGCCTGCCGGTCAGGACATCAATAAAGTACTGAATTGACTCACTCTGAGCACACAGCCGAGTTTCGTATTCTAGTCTACTCATCGTAGCTTCGCATGGCGGCCGCAACGGTGACGGTAGCGACGAAAGGGTACCACGGCGATGCCCGGCCTGCCTGGCGGCGTTCCAGAAGGCATGCAAAATATTATTCAGGGCTCTCGCTTGGCTTTCTCTTGTCGACGGTCAAGGCGTTGAAGCGCGCGTCGAAATCGGAGTGAAATATCGCTTTCTACAACTATTCATCCGCCGCGCCAACAACAGCGATGATAGCAACAGGGACGGATTCCACGAGAGGATGAGGAGTCTTCTCCTCCGTCTATCCGCGACTCGATGCCGAATGCCGGACAAAGGCTGACTGAATGCAGTGTTTAAGATAAAGATTGGAATTCCCCCGATCAGTTCTCAGTTCTCTCTCGTGATGCGAGTTTTGTGAAGATGCGAGGTGAAATCCTCATCGGATGGAAGATGCGACAATGCACTTGATGATGATGCTTCGCCGGATTTGTCGAGCGCAAACTTTGGCAGGGAGAGAAAATTGGCAGCACCGTTTGTTCTACGTGGACGACGGGGCCGCCCACGCGACAGAATGTCGCTAAGGCCGCAAATCTTGGCCGTGCGTCTCGGAGCAAAGCGGGGATTCGTCGATATACGGGCGGTGATGTTTTCAGTGAGACTTTCATCGTATCATCATCGGTCCGTTCGGAACAGGTTCTCTGAGAAACGAATTCATCTCGGAGCGGCCGCCTCGTGTGAACGCCGAAGTGAACGAGGCGTACCAATAGACCATCGACGAGAATGCGGACCCAGATTATGACAAAATTTATTTTGACACAAAAATTCTGTGCACGTATTTCTGCGCTGCATCATCTCTGTCACCGCTATCCTCTTCAGTCCGCCGCGTCTTTGTCTCTGTTCCTCCTTATTCGGGCTTCATCGTCATCTTTCCTGATAGAGAGATCAAGAAGAGCCACGTGAAGAGCGAGATCTTCGGAAAACGCTGAGATATTCGGTCCGACATCGAATCTTTGTTCGAATCACGAGAGATTTCTTCGTCCCGTCTCGCCTCTCTTCCAGGGATCTCCTCTCGGTGTACGGTGCATCCCGAAAAAGAAAAATCGAAGTTCGTACGTCGCTTCAGGCTCGCCGACTCCTTCAACCAGGGGTGGCCCACAATACGTTCTATCCGTGATTGCCTTTCTGCGGTGCGTAGCTGTCGACTTTGCATCGAATCGCGATCCCCCCAATTTCCGCTTCAAAAGCTCTGACGTCGCATTAACTTTGGCAGTACTCAGCTATACTTGGAATTCCTCCATCTTCTAGCCCTTCGCTCCCCCCGAACTTCAGGCAGGCTGGCTCACTTTACACTATTGCCGAACGTTCGTGTTTTTATGCTTCAAACGGAAATCACGGACTTGGACATTTTCCCGACAGAGCTCTTCTTCGTGTCCGAGCGAGCTTTCCGATTAGCTCGAGCGAGAACCTCTCTCTTCAATCGCTTCCCGTCCGCGGTAGCAGAAACGGAACTTCACGACTTCTTAAGAATGGACACCACGTCAGAAGCGTGCGTTGATCAAAAATGGGTGCTACGATAGCGTTAGATCATCCCGCCAGATTCATTCGTTCATTGTATGAGCGAGTCCGACCGTTTCACAAAATATAGCCAACGGGAAGAAATAAAACATGAAAAGCGAGAAACACCTGAGAATACACCGAAGAATACCAACAGCTCGACAAAGTCCTGAACACAGTGCCGTTGCCCTGTTTGCCGCTTCACGAAGATCCCAGAGCGACGACTATACGGAATTCAGACACAAAGAACTATGCAGTGTCGAGACCAACGAATGGAAACCATGAGCGTTGGAGTTCAGGTTCCGGGTATACGCGTCCCGAAGTCAATTCCGCTCCACCTCCGGACGGGTTTTCCCTCGGCATGCAAGGGCGGGGGATAGAACGTTTTCAACGATCTTCAGGCTGACTCACCGGACAATTCGATTAGCCTGATACCAAGCCGAGACCAGGGAACCTTCCGTCCGAGGAGTTTCCCGGGAAAACGTTTCCATTCAGCCGATTCTCATCTGCGGACACGGCAGACGGCACCATGCTCGCTCGGATGCCTCGCGATATACGACCGATTCTTAGGCTAGGGAACTCCTCCCGAAGAAATTAGGCCCGAAAAGAGCACTGCGAGCTTAGGGACTGGGTGCCGCGCCGCGAAATTTGTTCTCTACGCGGAGGGGTCGCAGAATCGCTCGACAGCCTCTCTGTCAGTCCGTCTGCCCAAGCGTCAGGAACAATTGTGACGAATGAGCGATCTTTATCATGAACACATTCTCAGAACTCTCGACATCTG